AAAGATTTCTTGATTGAATGCGGCGTCCGTGTTGAAAGACGCCTTCATTAATTTTGATTGCAAGTGTCTGAATGTTTACAGAGGTGCAAAATTTAACTCAACTTTTGTTTTAATATTTACACGGAGAGTGCAAATTATTCTTTGCAATATTATTTGTCTGACGAAATTGGCACTCGAGGAAGTGAAGAAATCGGGCTTTTCCTTGTTGCGAAAATTGTTTTTATTCAAAAATACCAGCGTAGGTCACGATTTCATGATGAGCAAGAAAAAAATTAAAATTAGCAAAATTGAAAAAAAAACACGTTTTAACAGAAAAATTTAAATCTTAAAACCAAAAAAATTCAAAATAGGCTGGTACTAAAATTTTTTTGTTTTAAAGATTTTGATTTTTCTTTAAATGTGGTTTTTCAATCTGCTGATTTTTTTTTTCATTTATCTTGCTCATGAAACAAGGTCCCAGACCGTGACCGAAACTGGTACGGCCGTTCCGTTTTTGAATGAAAACAATTTTTTTACAACAATGGAAATGCCCGAGTTCTTCACTTCCACATTATTTGTCATTTAAAAAAAAAGATATTGATAAGTTGATAAGATAAAGGGGATGAAAGTGAACTATTTTGGAAAAGAATTTGCCTGTTAAAGGTGGCTCAAATCTTCAAACAATCCAACTAAAATTTTAAAATTAAGCGCCTGGCAAATAAGAAGTTTTGATTGAGACTTTTTCAAAATGGAAAGTGGATTCATTTGCTTAATTTATTTATTTTTTATTAAAAGAACAATTTAAATCGTCGTTAATGTGAGTGGGTTTTTCTGTTCTAATTAGTGTGTGTCATCGTTTGTGTTGTAAAGTGTAAAAAATAAAAATGATTAATTCAAAAATTGTTAAAATAAATAGAATAAAATAGTTATTATAGCAAAATTCTTATTAGTGGTAGTGACGTTTTGTCCAACAATTCCTTTGTTTTCAAAAATTGAATGTAAACAATGCGATGCAACGATTTGGACAAATTAACAATAATTATTAAAAAAAAGTGAAGTCTTCTCAATTTTCCTAATGGAATATAAAATTCATGCATATAAATATTTTAGAAAAGCCAGGTCGCCGAATTTGGCATCTTTATGTTTCCGCGAAGAGGGAGAAACGCGCCGTGCTTTCTTTTTCGCGCAGAAATCGAAGGCAGGAGTCTATTATGGGATGTTTGTTTTCCTCGACTTTTAATCAACGCTCGCGCTACTACAACCATCACACCTCCCTTAAATACAAGCTTAAGAATTGAGCACTTCTTTCGTCCAGACTTCAAATCTATTTTGATTTATTTGTTAGCCGCGCCAAAGGAAAATGAAAGCTTTTGCGTTCAACTTTGAATAATACACGTATTATGCAGAATGCTCGAGATAAATTCAGAATTTGGGGGAAATTTAGAAAAGATGCAAGCGAAGAAACGTGAAAATACTTAATTATTGATTAATTATTTTGGGCTGATTAATTAAGTCGACAGAAATGCACTAACAAATTACGTACAAATCACCTCCAGAGATTTTTCATTTCATTTTGTTCAATTTATTATTTAATATCACGATTATTGAAGTTCCTATAAATTTAAATTAAATGAAAAAAATGCACATTGAATTGCTTTTTAACAGCACATACATATTAAAAATTATTTTAATAATAGTAATTAAAAAAAATCATTAAAACTAACTAAAAATTCATATGAATAAAGTAAGTAAAATTAGTTTTAAGCAGATTTAAACATTTTTTTTTTATTTTATCATCAAATAAAGTTTAAAATTCTAAAATTATTTTTTGTAAAAAATTAATTGTTAATTAAATCTTTCTTCAATAATATCTAGGCCTTGAGGATAAGGAAATAAATTATCATCTTAATAAAATTTAGGCGCAGCGCCAAATTCGGCTGCAACTATTCCGAATTCCAGCGCGGAAGCTCCAATTTCACAAATTTTGACGTTGGCATGATCAAGCAGTAAAGTATGTTGTGCGAGTTTTGAAAGCGATCTTGCGGCAGTGCTGGCTCGGATGCAGTATTGGAGGCAGTTTGGCCGCCGACCAAGCTTTCGGCTAATTAAACGCAACGGCGTGTGTGTGTATTATTTTTATTTGCCTGCAAGAAGCGGTTCAACCCTCGGAAGCGGTGGTCGCGTCGCAAATGTCGACCACCTGGCTACTCAAATCCCCGCTTTTCCGACACCGCTGCGGCATTTCAAATGAATTAATTAAATTCGCTCCTTTTCAAACGGACGCTCGCTTGAAAACAAGAATTAATTCATTCATCACTCACTTTTTTTCAATTTCAAAGACAAAATTATGACATAATTATTGAAAAATTTGCAACTAAAAAATTTAAATTTAAAATAATAACAAAAGAGTTGCAAAGTAATTTTTTTTAATTTATAATATAGTTTTTGACGTTTTATAATATTTTGGAATAAAAATAAATTTATTTTAAGCAGAATTAATTTAATATAAAAATTCGTGACTCTCTTATTTGCTTTTTTGTAGCAAATAAATACTTTTTTATTATTTTTAATCTAATCAATTTAAATTATTTTTAAGAAAATAAAAAATAAATACATAATTCTAACAGAAAATGAAATGAAAAATGTAAAAAAGTTGCCCAAAGAGATGAAATTACATTATCTTTCATTTTTCTCCACCTTGATTTCACCGTTCATTGAATTTCCGCCCGGAATAAATTGGCAAAAAGTTTTGCGTAACGAGAAAAGTTGTCGCCATGTTCGCACTAATGTTGCAAATTGGATGCTGCAAAGTTTTGAGTACGTCGGCTCCCATTATGCGCAGAGGAACGCACTGGGTGTGTAATTAATTTACGCCATTATCGGCCCTTCAGCTGACGTGTAAGTCGTTATAGGCCACTTGGGGTGCCAATCGAGCTCATTGCTTTCAATTACTAGGAGTGACGACGCGTCAAACATTATCTTCTTAAAATTCTAATCAGTGGCTCAAATTCGCGCAAATTCAAACAGGATGCCCAATGCCAATTATTGTAAACATAAATTTTTTGGAAATAAATTATAATTTATATTATGACTTGCAAGATTTATAAAAAGAATTAAATTTTAAATTTCCTGTAAGAATTATTCAAATCTGAAAATAACTGCAATAGCTCTTTTGCAAGCAAGCCTAAGAATTGATAAAAATGTAAAAATAAAAATAAATAATATATTGAAATAAATAAGATATTTAAAGCATAATAAAAATATTAATTTAAGTTAAAAATAAAAACATTATTTAATATTTTATGTGAAATAAAATATAAACTTTTACATAGTAATTGTTAATGATTTCTTATAATTGAAATTTAAATATTTAAACTTCTCAATGATTTAAACAAGAAACTCATAATGACATCTATACTGTGAATAAAACTTTTCAACCTTTTCCCGTCAGATCAATGTAAATTTTTTTATGTCGATGTACCTAATGATTTTATATTTCTGTCTTAATTGGGGTTATATGAACGTGATTATCTGAAATTTATTTCAATTTTGATCGGGCCAATTTTTCGAAAACATTTATTTTAGAAAATAATTCCCATACGAAACAATGTAAAATTTGAAAAAAAAATCAGTTCTCCCAATAAATTGAAATTTTGTTATTATGTCCTCTTGATACTGAAATCTTCAAACCAATGCCAATGTAAAAAAACTACAATAAAAATTAATGGGGCCAACTTTTGCAAAAGCCTGTCCTGCGAAGTTTTTACTTAAGATTCAATATCTGCAAAAATTATGTCACCAGACAGCGGAAAATGTCAATTGTGGTGCAGCCGAGTGTTCGTTCCTTCTTCCAGCAGCAGCTGAGAGCAGCCTAATTACAAGGCACAAAATTATGCACGTCTTCGCCGGCTTTCGAGGCCAATTACCGAAAGGGCGGAGGCCATTTGTCGTCTCGTGTAATGTCCCAGCGGCGCACGCTTCGGTCCAATAATTTACGTTTCGACTCCCAAATGGCAGCCCAGCCCTGAACGCTGCTGATAAGTGGAAAGTTTATCGGCAATTTCGGGCCAAACTTGCAGATTTATTTCAGTGACTTTTCAATTTTGATTTAGACAAAAAAATTAAATTATAAATATTTATTTTATAAAAAAATTGCCAGATTAAAAAGCAGAATAATTTTAAATGCGTCTTTTTTTTCTATTCATAATTTACATTTTTTTTAATGTGAATGATCTTTAAAATTCAAAATATATAATTAAATTATAAATTAATAATAATTAAATCATTTATTTATTTTGTATCAAATAAAATTTAGTATCTGAATTTTAATTATAAATAGAAAATCGTTCAAAAGCATCATCGATCTTCCTCCAAATTAAAAAACGAAAGGAGGTGAGCTTGTTTCTTTTTTTTTCATTTTTAGTTCGCACGAGAATGGACTGCGGGAGATCCAGAGCCGCGAATATCTCAATTTAGCACAATGTTTGCTATTTTTAGTCTGTGGAATAGAAAGATTGAACTTGGCATTTACGGAAGCCAGATATACACTCGCGACTGAAACCTCTCACAGAAATATTTTCATTCTCACTTTCAAGCAGTAAAACAAACAGAAACGCATTTTGTTATTCACGTAGTCCGGCCTCACAACGAACGCATCCAATGCGCTGAAAAATCGATTTTTCTCGCCGCGGTCTCAATGGTTAACCTTGCGTGAGAAAACCCAAAGTTCTTTGACCCCTGAGGAAGAAAATCGCCTGCAAAAACTATTCATTTAATCAAATTTTCATATTCAAAACCGAAAAGTATTGCTAAAAGTAATAAATTTTGAATTCTGCCTGGAAGTTAGGCAAGAAAAACACAGCCCTGCGTGACGGGCTGCATAGCTGCCGCAGGTAGGCGTGACCGAAACCCGACACCGGAAGCCGAAACGGGCCCCAAATGACGATTGGGGCCCTGATTGGGCCCGAAAGAATTCGGTCCGGTTCGAGAAGGGTCGGCGAGAGGCCTCGAAAGGGACTTACCGGGGGGCAGGTGCGTTTTATCGGCGAATTAGCGAGTCCATCGGCCAGGGGGAGGCAGCCAGTCGGGGGCCGTTTCGGGCCGATTCTCGACAGTCGGCGGCGCCACGGGCGCTGGCACTCGGCGCCGCGCGTCCGGCCTCGATGCGGAGCACGAGAGTCACGCGAATCACTGGCGAATTCGGCGATCAGCGCGACTGGCAGGTCGATAACGGAGCTGCTCGGCCAAGGCGAGACCCACCGGCCGCCATGTTGCTTTCGAGCTGCCCGGTGCTGCCTTTGGGGCCGCCTTGACTGCTGCGGACCGCGAGCTCGACTCGCGGGCACCACCATCTGCACCGCGAGCGGCGAAATAACGAGCCGAATCTCCGCAACACGCGCGCCGCCCCTGCTCGCCGGGATGCATAAATTCGCCAGATCAATATAATTAACTTGTAATATCTTTTTCACCAAAATGGACAATGAAGTGTTATCATAATTTTTTATAATTTTTTTTTATTAATTTAAATAATTAAAAGAACAATTGTTGTTGTTAATTTATCCCAATTTTTACATCACATTGCTCACAAACAATTTATTAAATTATTTATTTAATAAGATAAAAAAATTTAATCGAAACTTTTATAAGTGACACTAAAATCTCAATCAATTTTTTAAACCGACTGAAAACAAAACATCCTCTTCAGGTTTGCAAATTGAATTCTTTTAGTAAACTAAAATCTATTTATAAATAAAAATTACAATAATAACAATTTTCTGCAACGAGGAAGAGCCCGATCGCTTCATTTCCATGATCATCTCCTCGAGTGACAACTTCTTCAATATAAATAAAAAAATTGCAAATAACAGTGGCACAAGAAAAAATCAGTTTTTTTTCAATATTGTTTCAATGTAGAATTTAAGTCAATATCGTACTTGTCTTGAGAAAACAAATGAAAATAGAAAATTGCTAAATATTAAATAAATAGCAAATAAATGAAAAAAGTTTTTAATTCAATAATTATAGAATTAAATTTAGAAGGGCCCATTCTCTTCAAAATTCCCAATTAATGTAGTTGTAAATAGTATAACAAATGCAAAGAAAATTATAGTGAGGAGAAAATGGGCTTGCTTGCGAATAAATATCCCAGCCTATGGCCTAATCTGACTTTTTCATTTGAATAAATAATTTGTTTTATTTTTTGGAGCCTTTAAAAGCTGTAATTTTTTTTAATTTACATTTTTACCCAGTAATAAAGTTTTTATTTAAATAATTTATAACTTCAAAACTTCAAAAATGCTTTTCCAACAAATTTTTGATATTTTATTGGCCAGCAATCTAAATTAAATAAAAAATTGAATATAATCTGGTACAATTTATTTGTGTGAAATGGTAATTTTTTAGAAGAAAGTTAATAATATTTTACAATTTTTTAATAACATTCTCTATTCGTCAATTAATTTCCTGAATTTCACTCATTGCAAATTTCAAAATCTCCGACATTTGAGAACAAATTCCTTTTGTTTTTGCGCACTATTTTTGTTTTTCTCTTTCTCTAAAATAACCTGCAGAAAGCATTCATGTTGCAAAATCCAGAATTAGGCCAATTTGCAAATTCGCTTCGGCTCGCGCCCGTTGGTCGCCGCGTCGTCTGCGGCTTCGCGAGTCGACACACAATGTGGGTTAACAACAATTAACCGCGCTGCCAAAACGTGAATTTTGATTCGCCGTCCGACTTTCGTTCTTTCTTCTTTTCAATGATAGCTTTATTAGAAGTGTAAAGAGACTCGAGGAAATCTCTCACCGAGAGCGCCGACTTTCATCTCCGCTTGACGAGAGTTTCGCCGCGTCCGCCTGTGGAAACCCGAACTATGCAACCGGCGCGACTCCACATCGCTAACAGTTGCATACTTTTGATACTGGCAGGCTAATTTATTCCCTTGTAAAAATGGTAAAAATCTAAAAATAAATTATTTATTAAAAATTTCAGTAAGAAAAAATATTTATTTTTCTCTGGTTGACTTTCATAATGTCAAAATTTCCTTTTAATTAGCTCTGTCAGCATTTCTCACCGCTGCTGACGGGAATATGTTTGAGGTGTCACTCCATCCTCTCAAAGAAAATATGAGCATCAGACGAAAATTTTCAGTGGCCCGCAGTTGTTTAAATTTAACCCCTGCTCCATTTCAAATGTGAAAATGAGACTTTTTCCTAGAAGAAGCAAAAGAACGAAAGGATTGTTTCTTGTAGCCCGTCCGGTCAGATAGCAACTGGGCCTAATTTATTCGAATTTAAATCTTGTCTAGCACAGACAGACGGTGGCGGGAAGGCAGTTGCAACATGCAACAGAAAGAAAACGTGTCGCCCACTGCCAAAATAAATCACGAACGCTGTCCGAGCGAACCAATGCGATAAATATTACTCAATGGAAAGGTCACTGCACCACAGTTTATTGACTGTAAATTTTTCGAAATAAATGTATTCATTGATGTTTTGAATTCATCTTCGTTTAAATGGACTATTAAATTTAAAAAAAAAATAACCCTTACTTGTAATGAATTGAGACTTTTGAGGAAAGAGAAACACGAAATAAATTTGGTAGTGAAGAACCCAGGCTCTTTCCTCGTTGTAAAAAAATTGTTTTTATTAAAATACAAAACAACAATTTTTCAACAAGGAAAAAGACTGAGTTCTTCACTTCCATGATAATCTCCTCAAGTGTTAATTTCTTCTAAACAAAACATTTCGTTGAAAATTTTTAAACGTAATAAAAAGTCAATTTTTTTCATGAGAAAATTGTTTTTACAACGAGGAAAAGCCCGACTCTTCATTTCCATGATCATCTCCTCGAGTGTCAACTTCTTAAAATCAATTTTTTCAGCTTTATATTTATGATATGTATAGAAGAACATAGTGTTTGTTATTTTTCTTTTCTTCTTTAATACCAAAAACTTTTTAACTACTTCTAAAGTACAACCGTGATGCTAACTTGGGAATTTTATGACGCCTTCTTTATCCCGGAAAGAGTGGCTCTGGCCATCGACCTGTGCAGCCCTTGTCAAAGGCTTAACGGGGTCGATCGGCACCTGATTAGAGCCGCAGTTTCGGCGTCAACAAGTTGGCACAGCGCGACGAGTTTTGGGAAGGCCCAGCTGCTGCGCCGGGGTGGCTATTTTTATTCCGGCCGTCCACAGACGCGGAAGTTGATCCTTAATCCACTCTCGCGGCCGCACGTATGCAAAATTTCAAGACGAGATGGCACATTAAATATAAACAACTCATATAATTTATTGGCCGCAGCAGTTGCGTTGGAAAAATAATCACGCATCAAACAACCCCGTCCAAGGACTCCAAGGTCAGACACGCTGAAGGTTTTGCACTTTGCCTCGTCGCGATGATTTGTGGTCAGCTGCGTTCTATTTGAAAGTCGGACAGCATCATTAGTTCGTTTCGAGATAATGGCGCTTCCTCGTTTTGAGAGGCCCTTTTGCTTCTTGGATTACGTTGTCGGTGTTGAAGGATCGCGGCTTATGGTGGCGTCTAAGTGGAGTATCATATAATGTGCAAACTTTGCCTTGGAAAAATATTTGTTTCTCAGAACGAACGGCAAAAAAAGAAATGTTGAATATTTGAATTGGATAAATTTTCTTTTATTAAATTTAAATCATAAATCAATAAAATATATTTTATTTCATTTACTCTTTTTTTTTAATAATTCAAATTGCTTAAAAAAAATGTAAGAAAGAAATTTTAATTTTCTTCAATTATTTAATCTTAGATCTATTTGTATTCTTCTGAAGAGACCATTAAAGACATGAGAAATTTCTTGAATAGTCTCTGCAGTTAGTCTCATAATAATCAGAGTTAAATCGGCCCTCCCAACACGGCATTTAAAATTATACTTTTACCCGCTCCTATTTACTATGTGACAGTTGTGGCGTAAAATCGTGTTTATTTCACGGCAACTCGCTCTCTCGCCAGTTTAATTTCTTACACTCTCTATTTCGAGATCTTTGGACAAAGGTCTGAAAGGTCGTTGCCAAAAGAAACAAAAAAAGATAAAGGCTCGTTTCGCACGCAGCGATTTGCAAACGCACTCATTAATTTCACCCATGATTTAGCATCCTTGATAGTAAACTTGAAAAGAGCAGCCGGGGCGTCCTCGGGATAGCATCAAAACAGCGCAGACTTGGCCAAATCCATTCGTCTCCGACTGTCAACCCGGCTGCGCGTTCAGATTTTGAAAAACACAACGCCCACGGCGACGATGGTTGTAAAAAAAGGAAGGACCGATCCTTCAAAACAAAAGCGACTAATGAGCGACAACAATGGTTTTTCTGTACGAGTGGCGGCGCAGAACAATAAACGAGAAGTCCCTTCGCGGGGGCAAAGCAAAATATAATCCTCTTGGCAAATTCTCAAAGGGCTATTTCGGAGCAAGCCGGCTTTCAAAGTTACAGGTATCGGTGCTGGCGGGGCTTATTTTTAAGTTTTGGTTTCGCAACTTGTAACTTCATCAAACGGCGGGCGCCACAAACCACTGGAACTTGTTATTGTTGCTTCTGTCTGTACTTGACACGAATGTGGGCAAATTTAGAGGCAGACAATTTGTTTCCGGTTTTTACTGTTGCTGTTTGAAGTGAAAAATTTACCATTCTATTTCAGCCTTTACAGAATTAGAACTCGGAGGTGACACTCAAGTGCCCTTTAACCTTTAAATACACGGTTTATTTAAAGAACGAATTTGTTAAAGGACTTTATTTTATGGAAATGAAGAGATCAGGCCAGACCGTGACCGAAACTGGTAGAGCCATTTGTTTTGAAATAAAATAATTTTCGCAACGAGGAAACAACTCATTCCACAACCATCTCCTCGAGTGTCAATTTCTTCAAACATTAGGGTGAAATCTAGTATATAAATAAATCTTTGATGTTTCGATTTTGAAATCAGGCCGTGAGAAATTTTGTTTTTGAATGAATTACAAGCTTAACATCCCATTTATATTAATTATTTTTCTTATTTAATCTTGTAAAAAAAATCACTGTTCAAAAATACATCTAATTTAGGAATAGGGCAATGAGGCGTAATTTAAAACAATTTAAAAGTTTTATTTTTAATTAATTGCAAAAAATGTTCAATACAATTGTTTAAATTGAAGTTTCCCCAAATTAATAGTTAACAGCAAAAAATCAATTGTATCAGTTTGACGAGGCCTTTGAAAATGATGTCAGAGAGATGTGTGTACTCGTGTTTAGTAGACACTACTTGGCACGCGGCCATACACACCTTTGATTCTATAATGTGTACATGTAACAAGTGGAATGCTCTCTTAATTGCCAACCGTTCAATGCTTTGACCACAGGAGATTGATTCGCGATTTTCCGCACAGAGAAGAAAGAAAGGGATCTTCGTGAACTTCGGACAATGAAGAGCAATGGCGCTGTCCGCTAAATGGCAGGCAATTAAGAATTCATCCGTTCTCGCCTTTGCGTGTCGCTCCTCCGACTCGAAAATTATAATAAGCAGGGCTTGGGTGGTCATTAATATCACTCTCGCCTTCGAGGAAGTCTATTTTCTGACTGGGAATTGCCATGTGTCTGTCAAGCGTTATGGCGTTTCGGAGCAATAATTTTTTATGAGACAGGTGTTGAAAGCTTTCAAATTTTTCATTTTATGATAAAAATTCAGAATTTAATTATTTTCATTAAAAACCCGAATTTTTCTTCTTATAAAAATCGTAAATCTCTAATTCGGTCATTTGTTGCGGGATCGACGGATTCCGTGGTGACGCGTTTGTTGAAAAAGCGTGATTTGCTATTGTGAAAGAAACAAAGACGCATCTGGCGGCAACGAAAATTCGCATAAATTAGACAAAGTTGTGTCACACACAACGTGCGTCACTCAACACAAAAATCATGCGAAAAGCAATTTTGTTCTATTTTTAACACAACTCGAGTCGGGCAAAATCACGTCCAAGAAGTTATATTAGTTTTTCTTCGCGCTATTTTCGTGACCATTTTCCAAAGTATCTTATTTATATTGAAAACTCTTCGCCGTGTAGCCGACATAATTAGCACCAGGAACTATAAATTGTGTGTGGCGAGTGCACCGAAAACATTGGTCTCTCTTTAGCTTGCCAAAAGGCATGAGAGTTCCTGATGGTGGCGTGAAATTGATAAATCTGGAGTGTTTGCCAGAAGCCAACTCGTGCGCGCTTTATAATAATACAAACATCGATGTGGCGCGAAAAGTGGTTTTAAATCATTCGCCGAGACCGGCCGTTGATCTCGGCAAACGCGCGTTTGTGGATTGCAAACTTGCGCTTTTCAGAAATAATTTAAATTTGTTTTCATTAGTGCTGAACGAAATAATTTTATGTCAGCAAAACTAAATAAAATAGATAGGTGAGAAATGGAATTACTAATTAGTAATTAATTATTAATTTTAAATATACAGAAATAAATTTTCTTACTTAATAAAAATAAAATAACAAATGAACACAAAACAGTGCGCTGAAATGAGCTGACAATTTTATTTTTAAATAATTTATTCAATTTATTTATATTTCACCCAAGAAGAATTAAAAAAAAAATATTAAAATATAATTTTTAATATTAATTATTTTAATAAGGCCACATAAAGTTGATTTTTAGGATTTGTCTGTCAATTTGCGCCGACTTAAAATCTTCATTGATTTCAACTTTCCTCTTTCAAAAAAAAAATGAATAATAATAATGAATAATTATCAGACACGGACAAAAAGGATTTGTATGTTCCTGCCCAGACTTTGTTAATTTCTAAGCAGAACCCTTTGACTTGTTTTAGCTGCTTTGTATAACAAATTGCCTGTTTCGATTCGCTTAGAGCCTCGATACAAGATTTTTGAAAGTAGTTTGAGGCGATTTGTTCTTTCACATAAATTTTATAGCAAAGAAGAGTTTTTTCAACTAATTGATAACATTGTAATATTTTTGTTGATTATTACTCTCTATTTTCTACTTGTTTTGTACTATGTTGCAAATGGGGCGCGTCGCAATGAGTAATTACATCGTGGTGACGCCTCATACGTCAATAAAGATCAATAATAATAATAATAATCAAATTTGAAGTTACATTTTTAGTTATGAACAGTTTTGAAATGCGTGGACTTAAAATTAGGCTATTTAAATCAAAGTTTAATTTGACCACTTTAAAAAAAGAAGCTTTTGAAATAGAACTGAAAGTTTAAAAAACTGTACTCACCACTTCATGCTCTTTCGGAAGTTTACTTGGCTTGATCTTCCTCACACACGCGGACGTGCCACCTATTTGCACCGAATCGAAAGCCGCGAGTTGCTCCCGCCGGCACCAAAGTGGGCTAGCTTGAGAACGACACTGAGCCTCCTGTCTTTCTTCCATCCCATTTTCTCTCGCCAGCGGCGCCGACGGTGCCCCTTCCTCCACCCCTATCCTCCACCTCACTAGAGCAGCCTGTGCAAAAACTTTTGCACAAAGTTTCTGCATTTCTTCGGCTTTCTTGCTGCAACACCACATGTGTACTTAATCTTCAACGTTGCAATTTTTATTAACACACACAATAGCAATTCTTGCAGAAAATTACATTTCGTTAAGAAGCCTCTCAAGTGTAACTTTTCCAGTTGTTTCTCAGGATTTAGTTTGGATAACTTTTAATTGGAAGCCTTTTGATTATTTGAAAAAAAGATAAGTCTATATTTTTGTATGAGGAGAATTATTAAAAACTTATTTAAATTAATTAAACAATCATTTAAAATTTGGACTTATTTTGTTTCTAAATTTTTGGTCTTACAATTAGCAAGGAAGAAATTTGGTAAAACCACACAAAAATTATTCACAAAAAAAAAAAAAAAAAAATACTTACAAGTTCTGAAAATTTTTGGTGATCAGTTTTCATTGAGCAGGATATTGTTATTTTCATAAAAAAAAACTCACAAAAGCCTGATTTTCAATGCAAATCACAGTGCATACTAATCCTATTAAAAGAGCATTCAACCCAGCGAATCAATGCTATAAAGGATAAAGGTCAAGTGTAGCATAAACAAAAATATTCCATAAATTTCATCGGCGTAAAATTCATTCTATGAATAAAATTAATGCAAGTCTCGTCTGAACTAATTGTTTATCTGAAAAGGGTGAAATATACGTCTTCGGCTCATAAAAGTCAGTCGAAATGAACGATTCGACCTCAAACGCGTAAAAAAACAAATGCTTTCCGTGCCGGGGCGCATCCCCATGACGTGTGTTGCTCGCAAAGTCGCAGTGCGTATGACTTTGGCAAATGGCCTAATTCAGGTGCGGCCTATATTTCAAAAAGAGCCCCAAGGTCGGAATACACCTAGCGGTCTGTGCTAATTTTTCTAGAAGAGAGAAACACCTCATTCTTCGCGAAAGAGAGCGCAAAATTGGAATCATAATTAAATCGCCGGTCTGCGCGCGTTGGCAGTTTTGGCACTTCCTGAAGAGCGCCGAGAAGTGGGTTAAGATTTGCTGGCCGCCAATGTTTGGACCACCTTGATGCTCTCCAGACACCAAATTTAATTTGTAAGTCAAGATCGTTCTGAGTGATTTCCATCGAGGGGAAAAACACAAAACTTGGCGAGACACGAATTTTTATATTGAAAAATATTATATAATTTAAAAAATTGGTCTGATGGATTTTTTTATAAAAATCAAATCATTTGTAGAGATAAATTACATTGAGAGAGACAGTGAATCTCTAGACTATTGAAAATTAAATTTTATTAGAATCTTTAGTAATTCTTTGCTAAAAATCAGCCCATTTAAAATTAAAAGAAAATTTCAAGAACAATAAAAACTATTTTATAAGTTAAAAATTTTCTTGTAATAAGAGAGGGAAATATTAATTGGCATAAGTCTTTTTATAGTTTTGAAACATGAATAAGCGTAGCAATTAAAGGGGAGTTTGAGTCGGCGAGAGACACATTAAGTTTTTGGAGGTCTTAATTTTTTGGACAGGTAAAAATAAATCCGTGGCGCACCTCTTTTTCGCACGTCACTTTTTGCATGCATGTCAAGGTGAGAGCGAAAAGCAAACAGCTACGTTTGCAAAATAAGCGAAGCCTGATTTATTTTCGTTAGCCTAATGAGTGGCGCAGTCAATGAGGCGCGTATCAGTGGGAGGCCTGAAAACGTATAGACCACTTACTTAAAACATCAAATGAGAACAAAACTCAATAATCAGACGCAAATTTAGTCCTTTGCTTATTGAATTAAAATTTGTTCCCAATACGGGCTTTGTTCTTTTTGAGAAACTTTATGATCTAAAAATAATTACACGGTTCCGCACGATTCTAGGAATAAAAATCTCGTAAAGGAAATCTGGCTCAAAGTTAATAGTAAAAAATTATTTAGAACAACACCTGATGAATAGAGACCCTAAAATAACCACCAAAAAGGATCGGAAGGGGTGACGTCATGAATTATTTTTCAGCTGCAAGGTAAACGATTAAACATTCGCTGCAGCTGGCGGGGTCTTTTTCAGTGAGTGAGTCTTTAACCAACTTTCTCCTGGTGCCCTCGATTCGCCTCATTGAAAGAGAAATAAACAGCCCCCGAGATGAGCGCCGCATGTCTCTCTTTCTAGACGCAGGACACGCGTGGGGCTTTGCGTTTTTTTCTCACACCCCGACTGACAACTCCAAGGCCCCGCTTGTAAACAAACACGGTGATTTTCTACGATTAATCATTTCATTTTCCAGTCTGTATGATTGTGACGCACAACGTCATATTCAGAGACTTTATGCTTAGATTCTGCTTCGGGTATAAAAATACATCTTATTCTCACGCATTTAGTGTACTTTTGCGCATAATTTTTCCACCCACACAAGAAAGAATTGAAATGAAGTAAAAAAAAATATAAACAATATGCATTTAGAATAAAATTATGAAATAATATTTTTTAAGTACTAATTTAGTAGCAAAGATTTTTCGTCAGTTTTATCTCGTCATCAATCATGAACATTGTCTGACTGTATCAGATTAATGTGCATCCGGCTTTATAATTAAATTGCGCTTGCAAAACTTTCCATGAATCTGATGGCGTTTGCAGGGCGCAACTCGTCGCTCTGTGCATGAACGCAGTACCTCATCAACGATATATAAAATGCGCGGTATTTCTTATTTTCGATTATGGACGCAAATTACATTTTGCACAATCGCATTTTTCGTCTTTCTTCCTGACATTTTCACGCAAGAAAGTGGCAATACAACTCAGCCGACAAGTCTAAAAGTGCTCAAGGAATACGATTTTGAAGGTCGCTTTAAATTTGTTAATTATAAAAGTTAGGTATATTTTTTTGCTTAAAAATTAAAAATTGCAGCCTACAAACTAGTACGCGCGCTCACGTCCGCATGCATATCGCGATGTTTGGACCTGCAGAATTTAGCATCAAAAAAAGTTTGCAAATACGATGCCACAACTGGACTATGCAAGTTGATTATACTTTAAAATTAATTATTCTTTCAGTTTTGTTCTTCAATTAAAAAAAGAAGGAAATCTAAATTTAGATCATATTCTTAAGTTCTATAAGACCGCCATTTATTTATTTTTAATTTTCTTTAAAAAATCACATGCGTCGGTGGCTTTTTTATATAATGCATTTCCGGCCCATTTTTGGATGAAACCTGTGAATATATTTTTGTTGGCGTCAACGCATAGAAAAGTTAAAATCCCAGCTCTGTCAATTAAAACGAGAGAATATGAAAAACGTCATTTTGAGGGGAGCCATGCTACATTTTTATTTCCTCTGACAATCGCGCCGCTTTGTTTCCGTCATCAGTCACCATGCGTTTTCAGAGTTTCACTTCGCCAATTTTGATCATTTTATTTACGGTGCGTTTTCCTTTGAATATTTAAATCTCCTCAGACATTTTATGTTCGTTAGATATGTTTTTACGTACTCGGAGGAAACTACAGTTTGAAAGCCCTCAAAGAATTGGACTACGAGGGTATTTATTAATTTGTTTTTTCATATTTTCTCACATCGTGTGACGTTGACCTGCTCTCATTCCGCACTAATATGTCGAATGCAGGATTTGTGACAATAAATTCCGCCATGTCTTACTGCATTGGGCAATGCTTGGGTTTAACGGGACAAAAATCGAAATGCAATTTTGAAAAAGCCACCGGCCAGGGTAATTTGAATTCGTCTAAAAATACAATAATACTTACAATTAATCCCTCTCTAGCAATTGGAGGCAGTTGTTTAGCAGATTTCAACAGACCCGCAGCAATTGATCGAAGGATGATATGTGTTTTTGAACAAAGGTATTCTATAAAATTTTGAATTATAAACGCCAAATTTGTTATTTTTGCAGAGACATTGATAGGGGACTCACTTTAGATGCATTAATTGCCTCAAAACTGTGCACAACAATTTTGGTCTTGGTCACTATAAATTTCTATTATTTTAATGCCACTGAACCGGCCAACATGTTTGTTGTGGATGAAGGTTAAAATAATGGCTTTATTATTTTTGGGGTTTGGTTTTATTAAATTTTGTTTAGATCTTTACAAAAAAGCATCAGACATCTCTTCCAAGCCCACAGTCAAATTGCATTACAAACTGGGAACTCTAATGAATATGACAGATTCGATGACACCGAAAGACTTTTCAAAAACTTTTGATATGCCTGGAAGAAAATCGAAATGGATCAGTTCAATCATAGACCTTTGCAAGAAGCCCGAAGGCACTTATTTCACAGGCCTTTACATAAGATGGCTTTATCCAGGCTGTCCCAACGTATTTTTAAATTTATTATGTTTAATTATGCGCGATTTAATATTAATAATCATAAAAAAAACAGGATGACTGCAAAATTGGTCCAGCAATGGATGAACACACGTTGATAAAAGCGCTGGACGAGTTGGCCACCACTTGGAAATCAAAATTTCCCAATAAATATTGGGAACTTGCAATGGAAACTTCAGCAAAATCTGACAACATTTACATGGGTGATTTATAAATTCATAAAACTGTCGTAAACCTTTTTTTGAAAAAAAAAATCACCAAAGGTTTGGGAGTTGAGAAGCTGGGAAAACTGCTTAGCTATTTTCTTATTCTAAATTATGAATGGGCCGAGCCGAAACCAACAACCACTCCTCCAAAGACTCAGTTCCAAACTCCACTTTATAAAAATGTAGTGTGATAATTAATATAATATTTTAATTTTTTTAAATCGCACTGAAAATAATTTCAAACAGAACTTTGCTATTGACGCATACTTAAAAAAACACAAGCAGGACAACAAAAAGTTTTTCTACGGCGTCACAACAACTTTGGTGAACTACGCGCTTTACGACTCCAGACTAATTAAACTGAAAGACAAGCTGAGCGAGGACGAATACTTCGTAAACGCCGCTGCAAGCAATTGGATACTTTTCAAAGAGGTAAGAAATTTTTAACAGAAATGGTAAATTGAGCAAATTCAGAACGTTATAGGCCTGCGTGAAAATATCAGATCCTGCCAACAACTTTACAATTGTGGTACCCAATAATGAAAATAAAACGACTTACGCCTTTACTGACGGCACTTTTATCCCATTCGACGAGACAAACGACATAGTTGAAAAAGTAAAATTGATATTTTTGGTGATTTGATTAAATTAAAAACTATTGTAACTTTTCACCAGTTGGCATTCATATTTGCAAAATATAACAATAGGATTGGAGGCGCGTGGATGAAAAACATAAGCCACGATGATTTTACAGGAACGGCGTGTGGTTGCGGTCCATTCCCAGTATTACGAGCAGCAAACGAGGGACTCTACGGAAGCAAATGCAGTTTGAAGCTATGTTTCGCTAAGAAAAAAATCACGACCAGCAACACAAACTCTACCAATGCCACGGCGGTTGGCTAAAATTAGTTTTTATCCTATTAATTTGTATGATTATATTATGTATATACTGTGCGTTAAATAGAGTATTATAAAAATATTTACAATTTAACAAAATTTATCGCTGAACAAAAAAAAAACAAAAAAATAAATATGAAAAGTTGAAAGAACCTCTTTGCAAATGAAAAAAATAAAAGACACTGACCCCAAAATGCGGTCTGCTGGTACTTAAAAAACCTTGGGTTTTGTCGTGTCCAAACTAAAACTAAGGAGGAGGATTAAATAAAAAATTAAATAAAATGGGGAGGATTAAATTATAATAATAATAAAAAAAATACAGAAATTAATTGTTTATTAAAATTAAAATCTCATCATTTTATTTTCATTTTTAATTATTTTATTTAATGATCCCACTTAGTTTTAGTCAATTTTAGTCGAATTACAGCTTCACCTTAATGCCTTTGCACGTTGCTTTCGCGCGGAATTGTTTTAAATATCACACTAGCGAGCTAAAAGAGGCGCTGTCGTCGCACATGTTGTGCCTCCGCATGTGGTTCTGGAAAAATAGCGCCATTCTTCTCGGTTTAATCTCAATTTTTCTAGATAATCAGTTAAATATCGTTTGATGTGAGGCACTTAGCTTAACTTTTATCATTTGATGCTGCAATAAACATTCTAAGCGCACAATGGCGAGCATCCACTCGCTTAACATTCGCGGCATCCGTAGTTTTGGCACCGACAACGACGACGAGCAGGCGATCAAGTTCATTTCTCCCATCACTTGCATTGTGGGGCAAAATGGTTGTGGAAAAACGGTTCGTTTTCGTCAAATTGCTTCTGTATACCCCTTTCCTAACATTTGAGTTACTCTTTTTGCAGACAATCATCGAGTCCCTGCGCTATGCCACGACCGGAGTGTGTCCTCCTGGCACGGACAAAGGCAAGAGTTTTGTCTACGACCCGAAGCTGACTCGTGCTGGCGAGTCCCTAGGACAGGTCAAACTGAGGTTCAACAGCACCAAGAAGACCGTGATGCAGATCAAAAGGTCAGTCAGGTGCACGACCAAAGGGAACAAGATTGAAATGAAGACCCTCGAACCTACCGTGGAATACATTGATAAATATGGAAATGTGAGTTTAATGGCAAATCCCTGATCAAAGTTCAAAAGATCATTTTGTTACATATTTGTCTTTGTTTTAGAAAAATGCATCATCTGGAAGATGTCAGGACATCAATCAAATGGTCACAAGCAACATGGGAGTATCTGCGGCCATCTTAGAGAATGTCATCTTCTGTCATCAAGAAGACTCGCTCTGGTATAAAAATGAAAAATACTTTGGTTTATTTTCATTTTTCAATTTCAATACTTTTCAGGCCATTGGACGAGTCAAAGAAATTGAAAGAGAAGTTTGATGATATTTTTGATGCTGCAAAGTATAACAAAGCTGCTGATTCTTTGATCAAAACAATCAAAGCTAAGAAAATAGGTTTGCCTATTCACTTAATTTTTCTTAATTACCCTAATTAATGAGACCTTTAGATTTCAAAGTGGCCAAAACTGGAATTGAACTCCATAAACAAAACTGGGATACTTTAGTGAAGAAAAATCAAGAGTTGGAAAGAGATTCCAAGAGGTATCGCGAAGGAGAGGAAGAGATTGAGGAACTCAAACAGAAAAAGAGGCCAATGAGTGAAGAGTTGAGTAAAATTCATCAGAGAGAAAGTGACTACAGCGATTTGAGAACACAAGTTGGTACGTTGTAAAGCAAAATTATTTGAAAAAACAACCAAAGCATTTTAAAATTAATATATTTTTAGCCACATTGACAAGCTCAAGGAGCGATTTGATGAACCAGCAGGAACACATAAAGAAACAAATCAAGAATTTGCACAAAGGTTCTCGACAAGAGCTAGAGGAAGAGATGCGCAACTTCAAAGCTGACATAGAGTTGAAGGAAAAGGAAATTGTTGAAGTAAGGAATTCCAAATGTTCTTTGGCATGTGTATAATTTTAATTGCAGCTTGAAGAGGAAATTGCCAAACTCTCTAGAGATGAGAAGGCTATGGCTAGTCGAATCCAACAGGAGCAAATGGAACTCGGCAAGCTCACCCAGGAGGAGAAAACTTTTAAAGGAGTTCTTGAGAGCAGGCTCAGACTGCTGCAGAGTATTGCCAAGGAGTTGGATAAGAGTAATTTTTCAATTTAAAACATAAGAACTTGAAATATAAAATTTTATTCTCTCCAAAGATGTGAAAATCGAAAGTCCTGATGACAAGTCTGGATATGAGAAGGCCCAAGGAATTATTGAGAAGGGAATCCAGGATGAAGAAGTCAACTTGAAAAATGTTTGCAAAGAGCAAGATTCAATTGAGAGAGCACAAGAGAATGAAATTTACAAACTACGGTAGTTTTTCTTTGCTTTTTTTAAGATGACGAATTGACCAGAAATTTTCAGAGACGAGTTGTCAAAAGCGCAAGGCAAAGTTGCCCAGCTTGAGACGAGCATTGAACAAAATGACAATCAGCTGAAATCCAACACCGCCGAGTTGAGGAAAGTTGACTCTGGACTTGCAAAAGTGTCTGTTTTGGAAACTCGTCTGAATAGAGTTAAAGAGGATTTGAAAGCCGAAGAGGACAACCTGGACATTGAAGAGTCTCAGAGGGAAATCCTGAGCACACAAGGAGAAAGAAAAGAGTATTAACAAAAAACATTATTTATTTTGTTCCATCATTGCTGCTCTTTTTCAGTCTGGAGGATGAATATGAGGTGATTTCTAAAGAGATCAATGTCCTTCAACTAGCCAAAGGTCATCAAGCTGAGGCTGACGTTTACAAGAAAAGCATTGAGGACAAACAAGAAGGAATCAAATCTTTGTAGGCTGTCTAATTTAATATATTTATAAAGATCAATATTTTATGTTTTCTTTTCCTAAAATAGGATGGAAAAGAACAAAGACGGCTTGAAAAATCTTTTCGCAGAGATTCCCGAGACTAAATTGAAATCAGCCGTGGACAAAATCATTGCCACAAATGTAAAGTGCGCATTTAATTGTGCTTTTTAATTCTAAATCACTCGACTCATTAGGAGAAAGAAAGAGCCATTCACCAAAAGGCACTGCAGGATTTTAAAGATGCCCAAATCTCTGCAAATGCAGACCTTGCTCATGCCAAGAAGCAGCTTGAGGAAATTGAGAATACATTGAAAGGTAAATCATCAATAGATTCCTTATGAAATCTTCAATTTGGTATTACACAGTTGAGGAGAATAAAATCCAAAAGGAATGTGGCAACAAAGACTTGGATGCAATGCTTCGAGAAACAGAAGCTGAGCTTCAGAAAGCTACTGTAAGTGGCTAGTTTTTAATTAATTATATGATAATTTAGTATTTTTACATACATCTTTAAGGATCAAAAAGGCATTCTCGATTCATCCTGTGTGTTGTTCCGTCGATATATTACCGTGCTAAAAAAGGAAGATCCATGCTGCCCTCTCTGCCACCGTGATTTTAAAGCAAAGAAGGAAACTGACAAGTTGATCGATGAGGTTACTTGAAGCGAATAATTTATATTATTTTCTTAATCTAAAAATTATTTTCAATCTTAGCTCAACATAAAAGTAAAAGATTACCCAGTTCAAATTGAAGACCAGGCCAAAAGTCAGAAGGCTCTGCAGTTCAAACTCAGCCAGCTTCAGCAGCTGATTCCCTCTCAGAAGAAACTTATGAAAATGCAGACTGAAGAACTTCCCCAGCTTAGGTAAAATATAAAAAATGGAAAACTTTCTGAATGAAAATGAATGAATCGGGCATTATCCATGATCATCTCTTTGAATGTCAACTTCTTCAAACAAAAAAGCTTTCTGAATGCTTGTGTTTATTTCAACAGGGAGCAAATTGAGGACTACGAGATGACACTGGCTGTTGCCATAGCTGAGGAGAACTCGGCCGTTGAAAAATTGAAAGTTCCTGAGACCAAGCTGAAAATTGCCGAGTCCCTTAAGGCGGATATGGCTTTTGTGGATAAATACCAAGAGGAGATTTGCAAGGTTGAGGAGAAGCTGCGAGAAGTGGAAGAGAAGTTAGCTGTGGGTGGTAGGATATATACCAATGCATTTTTTTTTTCAGTAAATTTCTATTTTCCCCAATCAGGATCATCTCGAAGCTTGGAGGAAGCTCAAGAGGATCAGAACAGGATATCAGCTTCAATCAAAAGGTTGCAGAAGATTGCCGAAGATAAACAAAATGCTCTTAACAAGCATCAGAAGAGAGTTAACGATCTGAAGGACCGTAAAAATGAACTCACCAAAGAGCTGCTGGACGTAAGTAGAAGTGTAAAATTTTAAATTATCAATTTCATTTTTAATTTTTTTTTTAAACGACACAGAAACTTAAATATTCTAGTTGAATAAAATGTTAATCTTTTCTCATTATTTAATTTTTATCAATTTATACTTGCAAAAGGGAACAAATTTGTATCACAAGTTTTAAATTTTAATTTATAACTTTTATCAGATTCGATCAGGAGAGCAGCGGAAAACTCAACTCTTGGACCTGGTCAAGCAGCTGACTGAAAAAGACAAGCAGTTTAAGAGAGAGCTAAAGGAAGCTGAAGAAGCTATCAGGCCAAAGCAGGATGCCTTAAATGCTGCCAACGAGGAGAAGTCGATTGTCAAAATGGAGCACAATGCCTTGCGGGAAGCTAACCAGAAGAAACTGTCAAACTTCCGGAGTCGCTTAGCAAGTTTAAAGGAAATGAACAAAAGTGTGGAGACCTATGAGGCCAGGAACTTGTCCCGCAAACTAGAGGATTTGAGAGCAAATGTTGAGAAACTGACAGAAAAGAAGGATAAGGTCAACTTGGCAAAGGAAAACATGAGTGACAAGAAGGTCAAATTCCAAAAGGATCTTGCGTCCCAAAATGTAAATAAACTCTTGCTGATTATTTTAAAAACTTGATACTAACAATTCTAAAAAACATTTAGGTTAAGCAGAGAGACTTGAACGATAATCTGAGACTATTTGAACTGAGAGAGAAAATTGCAACTGCAGAGGGAAAACTATCCGATCTGCAGGAAAAACTTGGCAACTTGAACTTTGTGGAGTTAATGGAGCGAAAGAATAAATTGAACAGCACCATTTTGAGCATCATGAATAATGTAAGGGAAATCCAAATTTTGTTCGTTAATTATGTAATTGTCATCTTAACTATTGCAGATTTCTCACCTAGAAGGTGCTCAGAAAGAGCTGAAGTCTAAAATCAACGAGCTCAAACAGGAGCTGGACAAGCCCATTATGAAGAACGCTGAGGCCACATACAAACAGAAGCATGTCAACCTTCTGGTATAGCAAATTATTGATTGTAATACATTTTCTACAATTTTTTGCCATCAGGTGGAGGAAAGAATCATTAAAGACTTGCACATGTACCTTACGGCGTTGGAACAGGCCGTTATTCACTTCCATAAAGAGAGAATGGCGGAGGTCAACAGAATCGTTCGAGAGCTGTGGATCTCAATCTACAAGGGCTCAGACATTGATCATATCGAGATCAAGACTGAGAAAGATGAAAAACAAGCAGGTTTTTGTTTCAAATTATTTTTAAACTTCAAATCAATAAGTTTTTGCTTGAATAGCTACAACAAGGAAAAGTTACAACTACAGAGTTGTGATGGTGAGGCAGGAAAGGGAATTGGACATGAGAGGTAGATGCAGTGCCGGGCAGAAGGTCAGTAGATGATTTGTCCTTGCATTGAAATAATTTTTTTTTTTTAATTTTAATTTAGATGTTGGCTTCACTTGTGATTCGAATTGCTCTGGCCGAAACATTCAGCTCCAGCTGCGGAATCTTGGCGCTCGACGAACCCACTACCAACCTTGATGCAGCCAACATTGAAAGTCTTGGCAATTCATTGATCGAGTACGTAAAAGTTGATAATTGGCCCAAACAAAGTTTAATCGATTTTTTATTAATAGGCTCACTCAAAGCCATAGGATGCAGAAGAATTTCCAGCTACTGATTATCACCCATGATGAAGATTTCATTGAAAAATTGACCCAAGCTCAGCTGATTGAATCCTTCTATAGAGTGACTCGCGATAATCAGTAAGTTTTTACTTTTTATTTTTAAGAATCTAAAAATAAAAATTTTGCAGAGGGCATTCCAAAATCAAGAAATTCAAAGTGGGTGGCACTCGTGAAGGGGAATAAGTGCAGAAGAAGAAAAATCATTTTAATTTTAATCATTCCTAAACGCAATGTATAATTAAAAAATGACCATATTTTAAATTTGTAAATTGTGTCCTAAAATAAAATAAAAAAGTAATTTGCAATCATGGCAATAGTAAATTTATTTCAGGGTTGAATTCTTGCATGAAGAGGTAGCAAAAGAGAAACTTTGCGACTACTATTTTCAAAACAAAGACTCCTGTTAGTCTTAGCTGAAGAGATAATATCTGCAACTCTATTGATTAAAGTTGAAACAGCTTCATTTTGCTTTGTGGGGGTTTTCATTTGAATTGTTTCTGCCTTGTCACGTGTGATTAACGAGCTGTGTTTTTTCACTAGGTGAGCTTTGAAGTCCAAGTTTTTATGGTTTTTGCACAGAGGACAAAAGAATAATGGGTGCCTGATAAGGTGGCAACGTTTCATCAAGTCACTATCGTAGATCACTTTGCACGGAATGCAACACCCGTACTTATTAATATTGAAAATGTGTGGAACGACCTTCTTTGTGTTTTGGAAACTCATTATGCACTCTTTTCTGTGCTTGATGTACAAAGACTCATTGCCGATGAAGAGAAAACAGTTTGGGCACTTGTAGGTAACTGGATGCTGATTGCCAATGTGATTATTCATGACCTCTTTAGAATTGGAAGTGAAATTGCAGGCGTAGCATTCCATTTTAGACATGTGCTCTAGAATGTGTTCATCTAGGTCTTCGATGAGCAATCGGTCATAGTCACACTCGTCACAGCGGTACCTGTCTTTACTGCAAGAGGCAATTATTCTCTTCTCTCTGTGATTTTTGAAGGAAATGTGGCAGTTCTTGCATTTGAAAAACCTCTTCTCTCCGTCTTCTGAACAAGTTTGCAGGTGGTGGAGACTGAAGACAACCATGTACTGGTCGGGGTGCAGAAAAAGTGGTTTCATGTGTAGAGAACACTTCTTGCCCTTCAGTAATTGACAGGTGGAGCAACAGGGAGTGAAATGAATTCGGAAATGAGCTTCGATGTCCAAGGCACATTTCAAACGCAGTGAGCAAACCCGGCACTTGCCACAATCACTGACTAACAACTCCTTGTATTTTTCATCAGTCATCATCGAATACCTCAGCATGGTTCTTGCCATTTGCAAGTCTATTTCCAATTGTTTGGTCAAACTAGCGACGTCATCTATGTTCCAAATGTAACTCTCGGTAAGCTTGTCGACAACCCAGAGATGGTCCGTTGAGAAGTGAGTCTCGAAAGAGTCAACCAGGGCAAAGCACAGGGGACACTGAATCATGGGATGCTTCAATGCCATGTGAGATTCATGCCTCGTCTTGTCAGCGAATTCCTCACCACATTTAAAACACTTTTCCACTTGCAAGAACATAGAAGAGAATTTCTCGTCGATTCCTCCAAATGAAGGACTGTCTTCATTTGTCAAGGTTTCCACCATGGTAATGGCTCTCTGTTTGCATGCTCGGGAGTGCCTGATGAGTTCAGCTTCGTTATTGGCATGGAATTTGCAGCTTTGACAGATGTACACAGACAGACTCATGTGCGACCTTAAATGTATGCTCATTATTCTGTCTGATGCGGACGAGAAATCGAGGCACACTCGGCACACTTTGTTGGCCAAGTGTTCCGCCAGGTGAGTTATGGCCTCCTCTTTGCCACTGAAGAAGCTTTGACACTCTGGACAGCAGTAAAATAGCTCCATCAGTTTGAAGACATGAGCATGTTTTGTCACTTTGCATTTTGTGCAAAATAGAGTTTGTTCGTCTATGTTTTTCACAAACTTGTGCTGGGTCAGCTTGTCGTAATAATTTTCCGGATGTCTGAAATGAGGCTTCTTGTGCTTCAGACAAGCTTTTCCAATTGTGCAAGCATCACAACACGGTGTGCAATGAAGATCAAAATGCACAGGCACATCTTCTACGGAGATATCGGTTTGGCAGATTTTACATGTTTTGGTAGTTTGGTCTAAAATCATTAGAATCTTAGCTTCCTTTTTGCTCAGCTTCAGGAACGATTTGTACAGTTTTGAAGCTGGTGAAATTTGAGCTGCAGTCGGATTTGGAACTTGTGCTTGGGAAGTTGCACAATCAGCAGTCTTATGGGGTAAAGCAGGCTGCACTTCAGAGCTGATATCACCCAGTGGGTCGCGGTCCTCCAATTCGGACTCGGTTGTAGAATTGGTGCTGGGAGCATGAATTTGGATCCTCACAAAGTGATTATTTCCAAAAATAGGACGATTAAATTCTTCATGTAGGTTCTGCTCAGTCGTTTTCATTGGCTGAGGAGGTTTTCTACCCCTGTAAGACTTGTCTTCCCGAAGCTTATTTTGATGGTCATTTGAAATGTGCTCACAAAGGGTGATATGTTTCATAAAACGCTTGCAGCAAACAATGCAATTGAATGGTGTTTTCTTGATGATTTCTTCAATCTTCATGTGGTCAATGTAAACATTGCTGTCGGCAGTGGTAAGGCTGCACTCCTGACACTTGAATTCAACGCAGTTGAGTTCGTGAGATTGGTTCTGCAAGTGAGTTTGCAACATATCCTTGGTCGAGGCATAATAGTTGCAACTGTGACAAGAGAACATTCTTGTCATGGAACCTTTTTGGTGGGTTAGCTCGTGATATTCAATCTTTGATAAATCAGTCGATGCGTAATTGCAGGTTTCCGAGAGCAGCAGGTAAAAAGCATCAGAGAAATGCTGACGGGCATGGGCCAGAATGTCCTTGGGCGCAAGTTTTGACGTGTTGCAGAAGTTGCACTTGTATTTGAGGAAGTGGTGGGTGATCTTGTGGCAGATGAGCAATTCCCTTGTTGCGAAGCAGCACTTGCACTGCCAGCAGGAGTATTGAACCACTTTATCCATCATCACTGGCACGAACTTGCGCAGGTTGTGATAGCCCATGCAGTGATTGTACATGTCCAAGAGGAAGGTGGTCGTTGCTTTGCAAATTTCACACTGAAAGTAAGATTTCATGTAGGCTCCAAGGTTGTGGATGTTGATAATATGACTTTGTAGGTCCTTTTCTGTTGACAAAATCTTGAGACAAATCTGGCATTTCTGAAAAGAGAAAATAAATGTAAGCAAGTATTAATTATAGTTCTAGACTTACAAAGAGTTTGTCTGCTCTGTTGGCTGCCGAAGTTAGCATCCACGAACCCTATTAAAATTTGATATTACTAAGATTTTCTTAAATTCCACACTAAAATTTTTACCTCCAAAACTTCAATTCTGCTGACCTCTCTGAATTTGAACCTAATTGTTGCAAAGCGGTCATTTGACTGTGCTGGGTCTTCAAGGAGATCTGTTTGAGTCTGAAAAATAAATTTTATTAATTGACCTTACAAAAAGATAAACTTCCTTACTTCACTCAAAGGCTTGCTTTTGCCGCTTTCGGGCAAAGAAACTGTTGGGGATGAACTTGATTCACAGTCATTGTCTTCAATCGTGCTAGAGCCGGAAGGAAAATTTCCATCGACAGGGACGTCACAAGCCTAATGGTAAAAAGTAAATTTTTTAGTACATAATCAATTTTAAGAATAATCATGTTTTACTTTCTTCTTTTTTCTTGTGGATTGACAACTGTCCAGCTCAGTTTCAGATACTGCTCTTTTATTATTGACTGAAGCATCCTAGTGACAAAAAAATAAAAATTACTCCGCTGAATCAGACACTTTGAGTTACAAAATTTTAATTTTTTAATTTTAGTATACACAACTTCAACGAAAATAATATGATTAAATTTATTAATAAAATTGTCTTAAACATGGACAATTTAATAATTTAAAAATTAATTTTTGGTTGGTAAATTGAGTTTGTAAATACACACCTGATCACTGTTCATTCTTACGGATCAACTTTGAATGTAAATTGTCAATTGAACGTCCTATGGAACACAGAGACGTAGCCCCACTGAAAAAGATATTACAGTAGAGAATTAACAACTATGAAATTATAATAACATTTTGTTGGATTTTCAACTGGTTCCAGTGAGACTTTGTGTACTAATAAATGGTTTAAAAATCGGTGAATGTATGAAACGCACCTCGATAATGGCAATTCATTTCATTTTTATGGCAAATCTTCACTTTTTATGTCAAAATTAATCGAGATTTCGAAATTTCAATTTCAATCAAAAAGTTTGTTTTGTTTTTGATCGAGCACAGAGCAACGTGCCGGAAGGTGCTGCCCTCCTCCGTCAAAGTTTGCATTTAGACGATTTTTTCTGATTGATCGCAGCGCCTCTGGCGGCGAGACGGGCGACTCGGTGGCCGGCAGCCTGTGAAGTCCGGCGAAATCCTCTGCTTTCGCCCCACCACGGCTTTTCACGGATTTTCGTTTCTGGTTGCTCGCGGTGTTGATGGTTCGCTCGCTCGCTGCTGCTGCTCTAGGCAGAAGAAATGTGTGTCGTTTGTCGTGTTGTGTGCGTGCGCTGAGGATGTAACAGGTGAAAATAGCGAGGCGGAATTCGCGATCAATTTGCGTGGTGCAGCCGCGATTCGCAGCGGCCGCCGAGTCATGCAGTAGAAACCACTCGGGGAGCACCGTCGAAGGCGCCGCTCGTTTTTAATTTCGTTGTTGTTGTGAGGAGTCGTCGAGTGAGTGCCGTGCAGCAGCTACCGAGGCACTTCATAAATCCAAGATGGCAGACTCGAGTTACTACCAGGTACGTGTTTTGCAACGGAAAACCGGCTCTTTTCGTCTCGGCCGAGACCCTGACCGCCTCTCTCGGCCGACGGGCGACGCCGCGGCACCGACTGGCACCGTCCGGCGCCGCGTCAAGCGCCGCCCCCGCGACCAAAACAAAGCAGGCACCGCCGTCAGGGTCAAGTTCTCATGACAGAGACGGTTGGATTTTTAAAAATAAACTTGCAAACTTGGTCCCGATTTAGTTTTCGCCTCGACCCTATTTTGAATTTTCTCTGCACGTTTAAATTTTATTCAAAAAAAATTTTTCTCGGTGGTAATTTTTTTTTTTTAATAATTTATTAAACTGGTGGTGAGTCACTTGCCTGGCAGGTTGTCTTGCAAGTGGGTGGATTCCTTTCCCTTATCACAAAGTAAACATGCTGGGAAATAATAATTGAGTCACCCACCGGCAATGAGAGAGCGTCTCGTGATTATTACCTTTTTAAGTTTCAAAAAACGCTGCATCCGCATCGTCACACTCAAAGGACGACATAATTTCGCACTGATGACTCTGAGCTTCATTCACATGCATTCGTCAAACAAAATTGGTTTTACCTTTTTAATGAATGGTGATTTAAATTTAAAATCGGCTTTTCCTCTCGATGGTTTATTGCTTAAAAAAAATTATCCTGCCATACATGACATGTTTCGGCTGCAGCCCAAAATTCATGAGCTGTGAAATTATTTTGACAAAAATTAGTACCTACTAATTAATTTTTTTTATTCATTAATCATTTTCTCTCTCTAAAATTCCTTTTTCGCCTAATATTTATGTCTAAAATTTGACAATTATCATTGCAAATATTTTTAAAAAAATTTTTGATTTACATTTTTTTTTAGCAGAATTTAAATTCAAATAACTATGAATCAACCCTCGATCTTGAAATTCTACTATAAATAAATGAAGTTGACCATCAATTTGATCATCAAATTTTTTAGAGAACCAAATTGAAATCAAATTGGATTTGCTGTTATTATTTGAGGGAAAATAAAGATTTGACCAAATTTCTGCCACAAGTACTTCAAAAACGTTTCGTCTTTTAAGCTTGGAAGTTTTATTTGCAAAAAGTTTTTTAATAGGACTTAAATTGTTCAGTTTCAAACTACAATGAAACGTTCATATTGATTTGCACTTACAAAAGGATGACGTGTTCTACACAATTGATTATTGTTCCATTTTATTAATCATCACCATTCAGATGGTTAAAAAAAATTAGTATTCATTTTCAACTTTCCTTCTTCGCACTGACAACATTTGAACCACTAAAAATATTAGTGAGGAAAAAAAATGAATTTCACTTGTTGTCAATTTTTCTTTATTTTGGTCACGAATTAAAAATTTTAACATTGAAACTTACATCAAATTTTCTGCCTTCACCAGACAATGAGTTCTAATTAATTGAGAAACAAATTAAACATGTAAATTTATTATTTTTAGTGCGAATTTGAAACATTTAAATTTTTAAACTTTGTGTCGATTCTACAGTAAATGTTATAATTTGACAATATTAAAATTTTCTCCTGTTTTCCATTATTTAGTTATTTTGAAGATTTCAAAATTAGCAAATAATTTCATTTAATTTTGAATTTAAAAAATTTATTTGATGCAAGTTAAAAATTATATTTAAATTTATTATATATTTTATATTATTAAATCGAAATTTATAAATTTTTTTATTGAATTAAATGTTTTTAATTCAAGAATAATAAGCTATAATATAACTGGTTTTTTTTTAATTATTTTAACTAACAGAATTAGGGCGTATGATTTATGAAATACTTTATTATTAGGATAAATATTTTGTTCAAAATTATTGAAATAAAATTTTAGATTAAATTTTAATTTAACAAAATTATACATGACAAGAACTTTTAATTTTTTTCACCCAAACATTTAAATTGTGAACTTTTAATTTTTCTCACCCTAACATTTAAATTGAGAAAAATATGTGCAGAAACAAAATAAGAACGTTGAAAAGCAAAACTTTTGGCAAACAAATTTACAATTTTAATAAATTTTCGATTCTTTTTTTTTGCAGGGCCCTTTCATTCGGCACCCGGAGCTGTACCAGCTGGGCCACAAGTACGGCGTGTCCGGCAGCGGCGACGCCGCCGGCGAGGAGACCACGTGCTACTCCATGTCGAAGCAGCTGGAGGAGATTAAGGAGGCGATTCGCCGCGAAATCCGCAAAGAACTGAAAATCAAGGAGGGCGCCGAGAAGCTGCGCGAAGTGGCCACGGACCGCCGGAGCCTGTCCGAAGTGTCCTTTTTAGTGAAAAACGCCAACACCAAGTTGGCCGAGCTGCAGGCAGAACTGCAGGAGCTCGAGTCGCAGATCATCCTGACCCAGGGCAGGGCCGACGTCGAGCCACCCTCCACCCCACACAACGGGCAGCAAGGTGAGTCGAATTATTCAATCGCAAACTTGTAATTAACATATTTAAAACCAATGATCAAGAGAAAAAATATTAGATGGAAAAATTTTATTAGATTTTTTTAATTAATTTTATATATCTAACAAATTCACATTTTTTATCTTTTTCTTTTTAAATTGCCCAAAATGAGAAAAAGTTCCTAATTAAGATCATATTTTATAATTTATTTTCGTAAATAATTTGCATTTCATTTTTCCGAATCTATGAAGGTTGCAGATTTTAAGAAAAGACTTCTGTAAACAGTTATATTTAATGGTAATTTGTCAATCAAAAACTTTTCACACTCTTTTAATCGTATTTTAAGTAATTTTTATATTAACATGAATGGCGATTTACAGAATTTTAAATTAAATATTTGAGAAAATTATATTTCAGATTTGAAATGAAAAGTAATTAGTTGATGATCATAATTTTTTAGTCTTTGGATCGGCAGGGGGTTTGTTCACAAAGTTTATGACCGAAGTTGCATTAAATTCTGTGTTTCGAACAGTTCTCCTTTCTAACAACAATAATTTACGACAATCCAAATAATTACGCTAGCCAGAAAAGACATAAAATAACGCAACACATCAAAGGCTCGGTGGACGCCCGAAAAAAAAACTCGCTCCATTTATTGCCGGCCGTGTGTAATGATAATGGCGATTTCATCGCGGTGAATTTATTCAAGAGCTGCAGTCCTAACTGTGCCGCTCACAGGATCCAGTTTAAAAATAGTGTGCCTGTTTTCCAGTTGAGAAGAAGCCCAATTTTTGTTCCACCCACATAAATCAAGCCTCTCGCTCTTTATTTTGGACCTGCTTATGAATTCCCTGTGGCTATTTTTACACCCATTTGAACCCGAACGCATTTCTTTCGTGTAACCTTGGTTGGCGCCGCCGCCACTGGATTTGTGCTTTGCCAGCTCGCCCTGATTGATAAGTCGCGGCTATCTTATTAGCTGGCCGAAAAAGAAGATCTCATCTCCGATAGGCAATCGGCCGCAAACTCGCAGCCACATTAACACCTCGGCGTGAAAATCGAACACAAAAAGTTGACCGTCGTAAACGCGAGCCAATTTCGCTGCTGCGTGGTTGGAAACAGGAGACTTTTCTTCTCAGCAAAGATATAAACGTCGAGTTGGTTCGTCACCAGATTAGACGCAGATACTAATTACACGCGTATTATGTTCTGTGGCTCGACGCAAACGCACAATTCTTACTCTCACGGAAAAAAAGAACTACTGTTGGAATAGTTCTATAAACAAATATTTTCATAACAAAGCTTTGTGTTTTTTTCTCTCCGTGTCAGATGGAGGAGGGAAATAGTGATCTGCATTCATCTTTCGGCGAAATGAAAATAAAGAAGAAGCAAAAAATACTCGTGGGAAAACGCCTGAGTAGCGGTGTCAAAATCGCGCAAATCTCATTTACCGTCTGCATTCTGCGAGGCGGGAAAAAAATTAATGTAAAAATATGGTGCGCCAACACAATGCGTCTTATAATATTTTCACTTCCCTCGTATGCAGTTTGTAATTAAGTCCAGTTACTCCTGCGAACTGGATTAATAAACTTGTCCATTTATTTTTGCAAACTTAAGCTGAGTAAATAATGAGAACAGAAAAAATTCAAAATTGAAATTCAAAATTAATTTTAAATCTGATAAAAAATCTAGAGCTTTACTTATATGATTGAATCAAAATTCAAATGGAAATCAAGAGTTTGGGCTTTTCCTGCTGCAGGTATTGTGTTTTTATTGCAATGCAATTGGCTTTACCAGTTTTTCAATTTTCTAATTTCGTGTAAATTTTGCTCATGAAATAGGATTGCAAACCGTTAACGAAACTGTTTTTGAATAAAAAACAATTTCTGCAACCATGATGATCTCCTCGAGTGTCAATTTCTTCAATCAAAATTCAAAGCCATCAATTTTATCTATTATTTTCCTCGGTTGCGGTGTTTTTTGGTCAAGCTATTTTTTTTTTTTTTTTTTTTTTTTACTTTTTATCGCAGCTTATCTTTGGTTTTGGACTTATCAATTCCTTTTAATTTAACGTCCACACAATTACTTTCTTCGCCACAATTTTCCTTCACTGGGCTCACTATCAGCACTACTTTTGAAAGTGTCTTGGTAAAAAACCTGGTGTATGAATAAAAAACACTCACATCCTGTCCGTAATTTACTAATTTAAAAGTGACTTCACAAAATATACGTGCTCCAATTTTGACTATTAGCACTCGACTTTTTCTTTTCGTCAAATTAGCCGATTATTTATCACCCAAGCCGATGGTCCAAGAGCGTCTCTCGCGCTTCTAATTTAACGAGAAACACAAAAAACAAGGCGTTGCCAAGCTATCAATATTGCCGTCCATTAATTGGCGTGTCATTTGGCGCGAGACGCTCAAATTAACTCTTCCAGCGCAGGGTGACTAACTAACTGCTCGAGTCACAAGTCGCAGAAGGCGACGTGACGAAAGTGCTGTTCGGATATTTTTTTTTTCTCGCGGGTTCCCACCCAGGCTATCAACAACGGAAACCAACACCGGCCTCAGCGCCCAGTTCCCGAGCACTTTCGTCTCGCCAGCAGACGCGGACGAAATTAGCCGTTTGCAATTAGAGAATTTATTGGTTTGATTAATTGTTGAGTTTTTGCTGCCGGTCTAGGACCATGGACGAGTTCTCCGAAAACGAAGAAGGTAAATTGTTGCAGGTCTTGCTTTGCAGCTGAAAGTTGCGGTTTCTCGAAAAGACAAAAATTTATGATGGCGTTCGTGGACATTTAGGAACAATTTATATCGCCATAATTGGTGCTCTTTATTTGAACAAAATAATTTTCGAAACTAGATAAAACAAAAATCCAATGGTCAACAGAAAAATCTATGGGAATGAAGAGGTCGGGCTTTTTCCTCGTTGCAGAAAAATTGTGTTTTATTAAGAAACAAATGGCTCTACCAGTTTCGGTCACGGTCTGCGACCCTATTTCATGAGCAAACGCTCTGCTCGCTGACTAATCCGACTGAAACTGGTAGAGCCATTTGATTTTGAATGAAAAAAAAATTGCAACCAGGAAAAGCCTAATCTCTTCATTTCCATGGTTTCTACAAAGAAAAATCTATTTTTAGAGCAGAAGTGGAACTTGATGAGACGTGATTTGTCCTTGTTGAAAAATTGTTTTAATTTATTCAAATTAGCAAACGGTCCTACCAGTTTTAGTCAAAGTCTGCGACCTCTTCTTTTTTTTTCTTGAGCACGAAAAATAGACAGAAAAAAAATCAGCAAAAGTAGTTTTTCAATTTGAAACCCCGCTTGATCTCACTTCTTGAAGAATACAAGTTTTGTGAAATTTCATAACCCGTCATCACCATCAGATTTTAACACAAGCGCCTGAAAGTTTTCCTCTTGAAAACGCATTAAGAGCAATTGTTTTCTAAAATAAGCAGTAAACAGCCATTAGATTGAGCAAGGAGGAAAGAATTCTCAAGTGGCCGGTCGGTTCGATTGCCAAGCTCGACGCGGCGACTGAAATTACCGCCGATCTAGTTTTTATTTCTTTATTGGACGGCCTTATAGGGAAGAAGAGCCTTGGTCCAGAGCGTGTCTTTTTCTCTCTCTCGGCGCGGTTTTTGACTGGATATTGATTGAACATTGTTCTCTCGGCCGTCCGCACTAATTTGGAGCCAAAAAATTGCCCTGTTATTTATGAGCCGGAATTATTCATGACTGCTAGATTAATTTACAACTTAATCCCGGCGAGAATTGAATAATTTTCGGTGGGCGTGGTTCGCGAGGTGCGGCTTCTGTTTTCGCTGTAGCTGCACTTCGATTGCAACTCGCTGTGTAGGTCATCCGTGTTTTTCTATCGTTCGTACGGTCTTTTAATAGTTGGAATCGGTGCCAAGTTATTCGCTTGCGCCCTCATCCGATGTGCAACGTTCAAGGAAACGCCGCCGCCCGCCAGAGAAAGGGAGCTGACGAAATGATTATATTGTGCGCCCCAAATGTTTTCGCGCATCTTTGACACGCTTTCGTGACAAATGCGGGCGGCGTCGCCAATTCCGAAATGTCACGCGGCGGAAACGGAAACCAGTAGTTTGACAGAAATAAACGTCAAAACTACGATGACGTGTGGTAAAATTTAGCATGACTTTGAATATATGAAATAATTTTACATGAAGAGTGACAAAATAATCTATTTAAAGAAAGAATCATTTTGAAAACTCGAGAAAAATTTGAGCTGGTCAATTTAAAAAAAAAAAAAAAAAAAAAAAAAAACTTTCAATTCTGAAGAAAAGTTTCCTTTTGCCGCTCATCGTCAAATCAAGTCTAGCTTTGGATTTTAAACAGAAGCACTAACCACCGGTTTAATGAAGAGAAATTAAAAAGGAAACCGTTTCGGATTGATCAATTATTTCCAAGTCGTAAATCTTCCGTGCCCACTTTTCGTCCCGACCAACAATGGAGACGCATCTCGGAGTGAAACTTGACGCATGAAATTTGTCTCCGTCTTTTTAAGGCAACAAATTTGCCTTTTAGAAAGTAGACACAATTTGCCTAATTCCCGACAAATGCGCCAATTGAGGCACGTCACAAAAGCAGCTCTTCAAGCTAACCCCGGTGTCAAGTTCATGACGAGCCTGTTAACTTGCTTCATGCCTTTTTGAAAAGACTGGAATCTCGGCAAGAAACGCCTCGGGCGGCCGCAGCAGTACCGTCGATATTTTATCATAACTGTGCTCGGAGCTGCTAATTAAAAGTGCACATCCACTCTTTACCTATGCTTTTGAATAAAACACACAAACGTAGAGAAAAAAAGAAGGTCTGTGTTTCGCCTGAAAACGAGTGCATTCATTACAATCAAAGGGAAGCCCGATTTCTTTTTCTATATTTGTGAGCAAGCATTGACCTGAATTTGTGTTTTCATCATCACACATTTATATTCTTATTCTCACATCGGTGGCAGCCGGCGAGTCGAAGGCCGGCGTGCTGCT